CAACACACTTGATTGAACACATAAAAAGTAAATGTGCTAAAATTGACTGCAATCGGGTTTACGTGAATCTTGCAAAGCGCATCAAACTTTGCATCATAAATATGGTTAATCATATTGAAGATATTATTTGTTAATATTCCAATTCAATAAAATATTGTTCTAAATTTCATTTCTTGAAAATATGCATTTTTGCTTATGTATCCAGACTTTAGGGACAGAAATCTCATTAATGATGATGGCTTGCACAGCAGTTTTTGGCTAAGACAACATTCCCTAGGTCCAACAACTACCATATTCCCCAGATTTCGTTGTTTACAACATTTTCCTCTTTCCAAAAATCAAATCCAACTTGAAAGGAATATAATTTGAAGACGTCTAGGAAATCCAAGAGAATACGACGAGGTAGCTGCTCGCTATCTCCAGAAAGGAACTTCGGGATTGCATCCGTCAATAGAAACGAAGCTGGATAATGTGTGTGACTTCATAAGGCAACTACTTCGAATCAGATTAAATACCGAATTGATATGTGCTGTAGTTTTCTTTTTATAGCACCAGTACCGATACTTTTTAATTAGATCTCATATACATACACATACAAATACACACATAGGAGTCATTCACACAGGCAAAGAGTGTGATTTCAATACCTGGTTAAGGCAGTGGAGAACTTTGAAAGGGGAATTAACAGGAGATAACTGATAACTGACATCCATTAAAACATGGCACGTGGAACTAGAACAGTCTACCCCAGTGAACTAAATAAAGGGTTCAGTTCGACATTACCACCACCTGAAGAAGGTCGGAGCGTACAATGGCCGAAACGTTGTAATAAATATGGCGACAGGACCCAAAGAGTGTGAGTTCAATATCTGGTAAAGGCAGTGGAGAATTTGAGTGGGGAATTAACAGGAGACAACTGATAACTGACATCCATTAAAACATGGCACTTGGTCTAGAACAGTCTCCGTCAGTGAGCGAAATAAATGGTTCAGTTCGACATTATCACCACCTGAAGAACACCGGAGCGTACAACGACCGAAACGTTGTGATAAATATGACGACAAAGACGAGGATGATGGTCGGAATAATGTAAATAGTGTACATAATACCTCATCTCAGAAATAGAGACAGATACAAAAAGTTGCAAATATGAAACATGCATCTAAGCTCTTACTGGTTTACCGGCACTGAGGTCATTAGACGTCAAATTGGTACACAGCTAAATTGTTACGAGTTTAATAGGTTAAATCAAAATACGGCCATCGTTATCACTATTACTGATTTGAAGCTCTTAAAATATTAAAGTTATTACGAGACATGTCATTTATCAAATTATTTTAATACTAATTCGACATTTCACCGGAGGCTAAAGATTACCGAGTAAATCTAATTGTCTATTACTCTTGCGTAATAAATGTGCGGGTGGTGTAACAGATAGTGGCTCGAGATCAGAAATCGTAGAACAGAGTTCGACTTCTAGTCGAGTTCGTTGCATTCACTTACACGCAAATGCCCTTGGAAAAGACATGAATCCATCGCTTCTCCCCATCCTTGGAAAAAGCATGAGTCCATCTTTTCTCCCTCAGCTGTGGTTAAACAACAGGACAGACTAAGCCCGAAAGCTTTGATTGGCAATCAGTCTAGGAGAAGGACAACTCTGAATTTAAATCCGCCTAGAGAGGGTTGGGCTCCGTCAGGTTATCTTGCCCAAGACGTACTGCTGCAATTCATGTGGTTCTCCTACAACCCTTCATGTTAAAAAAAAAATAAAAAATATAAAAACAAATGAAAACTACAGACAAAAGTTCATTTTCGCCATCAAGACATTTGTTTCTATAGTTCACTGCTACCAGCAAGCAGAAAATTATTTTTCTCCTGATGATGGCCGTGTTGGCCGAAACTAGTCGAGGAATCTAAATGAAATAATAATAAAAACGAAAGAAAATTAATATAAAACCAGTGTGTCTAAAGATTTTAATTTTTTAATATTTTTTATTAATTTTTTAATATTTTTTATTGTTCAATATATATATATATATATATATATATATATATATATATATATATATATATATTGGGAAAGGTATTAATCCACCTCTTCTCCCCCTGCTATTGGTTATTTAGTAAAACTTGTATCAGTAAATAATTAATATCTCCGAAAAATTCTTACAATTTAGAAAAAAATATATTTTCTGGCTTTAAATAACCTGCAAAAGCCGGAGAAAAAAAATCAATCAATCTATTCTTTGTATCTCTAAACGATGTGCATCCCTTTTCTATTTCTCTCGCTCCCTATCCTTTCATCCATTTGCACAAGCTCTTGAGGAAGTTCTCTTTTTATGCCCCCTCTTGCTTTTAATGACTTGTGAATATCAAATTTTCCAAGCCTTCTTTCTTCATTAAAATATTCAACTGACTCTTTCTGATTGAAAACACACTGTTTTGTTTCCATTTTCCTTCAAACTTCTTTGATGCTTACATGTTCCGTCGATGGTATTCTCAGTATCCCTCTGTAGAACCACATCTCTCTTGCTTCAAATATCCTCTTGATCTGTAAGGAGGAAATTGTCCAGCGTTCACCACTATATACAAGGGTTGATATGAAATAGCAAATGAACTCTCTTTGCTTTGTTTACACCGAAATTTTCCAGTTTTGGAACTGGGATGTGTCTTCGGATTTTTTGTCATATTTTCCATCATCTGTTAGAACACTTCACATAGTTAAGTTTTATTTACCAATTGTATACATGAACCTGCGAATACCATGGACTGGACATGTGAACAATGGTGAAGTTTTAGAGAAAATCGAAACAAAAAGGAGACATACTTAACTCTATACTTAACGGCAGAAAGAGACAGTTGAAATTTGTAGAACACGCAATGAGGAAAGATGGCTTGGAAATTTTGATACACACGTGACATAATGAAGGCAAGAGGGACAGACGAAAGCGGCGAATAACTTATCTAACACGCTTGCATAAATAGTTGGCCGAATAGTGACTAGATGTAGCCAAAAACAAAAAACAAAGGATAGGAAACTATGGAGAGTCATGATCGCCCATGATATAGAAGAAGAAGAAGAAGAAGAAGAAGAAGAAGAATGGATCGGTCGAAACGCTGTAATAACAAAAGCACACAAAGAATGAGTTCAACAGTCTGAACTACTCATATAATAAGAAAATTTGTTATTTATCCAAATCCCGCGTTGGTTTCACTGATCTAGCGTTTTGTGGGTTTATATTTGAAGACGCCTATGTTAAAGATGCTTAGCAGAATAAAAAAAAATATATCTAAATCTTTAAATATATTTCGAAAAGAAAAACCCAGACAATTGATTGTATATGTCAAAATCTTCATCTTCCAACATCACGCATCTATATCTACGCATGTTCAAACTATTGTAATCAGACATTATAATATAGACATTCTGTTTTTCACATGTTCATATTACGCACAAATCTTCGCATACAGCTTCAATATGCTTGTTATCTGTTCTTTCGACCATGTAAGAATTATCAGATAAAAGAAAGCGTCAGATCAAATAGAAATCTTCTTAATTAATAAAGTCTTGTCACACGTTGATGTTATTCATTTGTTTATTAATCTGCCCATTATAATTTCTGCCAACGAAATTGTATAAAAGCCGGCCATATTAAAACATCTAACACTATATAAAACTAGTGTACCTGTGCCTTGACTGCAAGAAGGAATGTATTATAAGTAATATGTATTATATTGTAAGTAATTTTCGTTTAATCTAAGTACAATTTTGTAATTTAAAATAGTTCGTTGTTGTCGTTAATAATTGAACAGTGTACATTTTATAAACACCTAAGGAAAGATATCCGTATATTATCCTCTTAAATGTTACATATTTGCAACCAAAATTATGTTTACTGCAAAAGTTCCAAAAGCAAAATATTTTTTTTGTGTAAACTATAGAAGCTATTTACATTATTCGGACTGTTGTCTTTATCATTGTCGCCATTTTTATTACAACGATTTGGCCTACTTCAGGTGGTTGGAATGTCGAACTGAACCCTTTATTTCGCTCACTGGGGTAGACTGTTCTAGTTCCACGTGCCATGTCTAATGGATGTCAGTTATCAGTTATCTCCTGTTAATTCCCCTCTCCAAGTTCTCCACTGCCTTAACCGAGTACTGAACTCACACTCTTTGGGTCCTGTCACTGGATCTAACTAACGCCTTTATCCACCGTGCCATATGCCCTCAAGGACACATGACACAGTGTTTAAGGCAGTGGAGAACTTGGAGAGGAGAATTAACATGAGATAACTGACTTCCATTAAACATGGTACCTGGAACTAGAACAGTCTACCCCAGTGAGCGAAATAAAGGGTTCAGTTCGACATTCCAACCACCTGAAGAAGGCCGGAGAAGAAAAGTGAGGGAAAATAGTTAAAAGAAAACTCATTCTGTTCTTTGAATGTAAAGGGAGTTGAACGAATACTTACAGGGGGAATGAAAAAGAAATAAAAAATGAAAGAGCGCAAGAATCCAGAACATTGATATTTGAAGCAACGAAATACCCCTCCCCCACACATGTTAGTAAATTCTGATATGCTAAATATTAACATCTTTAATTCAATAAAAATCAAAGATACCAATGAAAAAGTGTATTCGGCATATTTTAATTAGTAACTCAATTATGCATTTTATTTAAAAACCGATTTACTTGTCACCATAAAAATTCACAGATCGTGTAACGACACTGAAATTGCTAGAGAAGCCAATTTTAAAATATATTTAAAGGCTCACCTTAAGAATCTGCTAGCAGTTGACACTATTTTGTCTAAAAAATAAAACAAGCCATGAAACTGATTTAAAAATGTTAACCTAATAAAAATAAAGGATATCTTATTAGGAAGAAAATATTAAAAGGGAATATTAATTCATCTCATTCCATCAATAAACACTCCTCAGAGGCACTCTTTCATAATACTAACGTCCATACAAAAGAAAAGTAATATTAAACGTATCTATGAGATAGATAGATAGATAGATAGATAGATAGATAGATAGATAGATAGATAGATAACAGCCTGAGATAGACAGAGCAGAACAGACTGAGATAGATAGATAGATAGATAGATAGATAGATAGATAGATAGATAGATAGATAACAGCCTGAGATAGACAGAGCAGAACAGACTGAGATAGATAGATAGATAGATAGATAGATAGATAGATAGATAGATGAGATAGATAGATAGATAGATAACAGCGTGAGATAGACAGAGCAGAACAGACTGAGATAGATAGATAGATAGATAGATAGATAGATAGATAGATAGATAGATAGATAGATAGATAGATTGGATTAACTTAAGAAAACAAGAATAAAAAGAAGTAGAACGGAGGAGAGAATAAAAAATATAATGTAAAAAAGAAAGTAGGAATTAATGGGCGACAAAAATAAGGAATACATGGCAAAAAGAAAGAATAAATTAATAACAAAAGGAATGAAAGAAAAAGAGAACGACAGAAAGAAAGAAAAAAGAAAGAAAGAAAAAAGAAAGAAAGAAACAATGAATAAATGCATTAAATTAAGAAGAAAAGAAGAAAAAGAAAAAGAGGACGTAAAAAATGATGAAAAGAAAATTGAAAAAAGAAGGAATACATGACGGAAAGAAAGAGAATGAAATAAACAAAAGATGAATAAAGAAAAAAAAGAGGGGGCGAATGAAAGAGAGAAGGACAGCAAGAAAGACAAAAAAAAAAAGAACGAAAAATAAATAAAGTGAAAGAAATCGAAAAGAGAAAGAAAAAAAAATGACCATCTGAATAAAGTAAAGAAAGAAAACAATGACAAAAAAAAAATGCAATTCGCAGAGAAACGACACGAAAAGCCAAAGAAGCAAGAATGAGAATGAGATAAGTGTCAAAAAACATTTTGAATGATTGAATATTGATTGTGAAGAATCTCGCAATCAATCAATCAATCAATCGAATTCAGGCTGACAGATTATTTGTTCTTCATCTTGAGTGAAATTCCGGATGAATTTATGGATGGAGTTACGTAGACATGTGCTTTTGCACACAACTTCCACGTGGAAAACAGCATTAGTTCCACGATGGTTACAAAACACTTTTTCTTTTTCTTTCAACTTTTTCTCTCTTCTTATCTCTTCTTTCTCTTTCTCCCTCCCTTCACCTTTTTCTATTCACTACTCTATATTTCTCTCTTTTGCTTCCGACATTTTTGTAGTTGTTCGCTCCCTCTCTTTAAGTCCTTCACATTTTTCCCTTCATGATTCTTGATTAAAATTTCTATATTTTTGTTTATTTATTGTGTTTTATTTTTCCTTATTGTTCCTTTTTAGCTTTCGTTTTCCTCTAAATGAACTTTCTCTTCTCTCTCTCTCTCTCTTTCTCTCTCTCTCTCTTTCTCTCTTGATTTTTTTTCTTTTTCTTACTATAATTATTTTTATTTCTCTTCGTTTTCTTTCTTTCTTTCTACCTTCTTTCTTTCCTTCCTTCCTTTCTTTCTTTCCTTCCTTCCTTTCTTTCTTTCCTTCCATTCTTTTCTTTCTTTGTTTAATCATTTATTTTCTTCTTTTCTTTCTTTATATATATATATATATATATATATATATATATTTCTATTTTTTTTTTTTTCTTTCTTTCTTTCTTTTCTTTCTTTCTTTCTTTCTTTCTTTCTTTCTTTCTTTCTTTCCTTCCATTCTTTTCTTTCTTTCTTTGTTTAATCATTTATTTTTTCTTCTTTTCTTTCTTTATATATATATATATATATATATATATATATATATATATATATATATTTCTTTCTTTCTTTCTTTCTTTCTTTCTTTCTTTTTTTCCTTTCTTCCTTCCTTCCTTCCGTCCTTCCTTTCTTTCTTTCCTTCCATTCTTTTCTTTCTTTCTTTGTTTAATCATTTATTTTTCTTCTTTTCTTTCTTTATATATATATATATATTTCTTTATTTTCTTTCTTTCTTTCTTCCTTTCTTTCTTTCTTTCTTTCTTTCTTTCTTTCTTTCTTTCTTTCCCCCTTCCTTGCATCTTTCTTTCTTTATTCAATTATTTTTTTCTTTGATTTCTTTCTTTAGATATATTTCATAATTTTACTTTTCTTTTACTTTCTTTCTTCCATCCTTATCATTCTTTTTTTCTCAATTCCTTTTCTTTTTTTCTTTCTTTAGACATATTCCACTATTTTAGTTTTCTTTTCTTATTTGTTTGTTTGTTTCTTTCTTTCTTCTTTCTTTATGCTTTCGTCTTTTCTTTCTTTCTGTTGACATATTCCATTTCTTTTACTTTTTTTTCCTTCCTTCCTTCCTTCCTTCCTTCCTTCCTTCCTTCCTGTCTTCCTTCATTTCTTTCTTTCTTTATTCATTTATTTTCTTCTTTTCTTTCTTTCTTTACATATATTCCTCTATACTCTTGCTTCTTTCTATCTTTCTTGCTATTATTTATTTATTTGTTTCTTAGTCTTTCAATATTTATTTTCGGTTTATTTTCTATCTTAGTTTCTTTCATCCCTTTCTCTCTTTCTTTTCTTTCTCCTTTCTTTTCTTTCTTTCTTTTTTTCTTTCCTTTCTCCTTTCTTTTCGTTCTCTCTTTCTTTTCTTTCTCTCTTTCTTTTCTTTCTCCTTTCTTTTCTTTCTTTCTTTTTTTCTTTCCTTTCTCCTTTCTTTTCTTTCTCTCTTTCTTTTCTTTCTCTCTTTCTTTTCTTTCTCCTTTCTTTTCTTTCTTTCTTTTTTTCTTTCCTTTCTCTGCTTTCTACTGTCGTTTTCTTTATTATATATCTTCCTTTTAATTTCAAATAGAAAGTTTTCTTTCTCTTTTCTGATTCCTTATTTCCCTCTCGTTTTTTTTAATGTTTCCCTTCTTTCTTTTTTCTTAGCTTTCATACCCACCTCTCTCTCTCCTTTCCTCTACTGTTTTCCCATCTCACCTATTCACCACCACCCGTCTCTCCTCAGAACCCCCGGCCTCCACACACACACACACACCGGCCAGGCTTCAAATCTTCCTTGATCCTTAGCATTTATTTTCAAACTTCAAATCAGATCTGTTGCTGACTTCGCCATTCGCTTGATCTTTTCATTTCTTCTTCGATGTTAAAACACATTTTGATGGATTAACAGCGAACAAATGCTTCATACCAACAACTTTAAATTTAATGCTCTGGAAGAAGTGAAAACTTCAGATTGACACGATCAGTCTCGCTATTTGTTCATTAGTGTCTTTTTTTGCCATTACACTTGTTGTTGTTGTTGTTCTTCTTCTTCTTCTTCTTATTATTATTATTATTATTATTATTATTGTTGTTGTTGTTGTTGTTGTTGTTGTTGCTGTTGTTGTTGTTGTTGTTACGGTTACGTTTTTCTTTTGCTTTGTGTAGTACAAGTTGCCCTCAAGTTTAAACCAGAGACTTCAAGAGATAGCAAGTTTTTTTGTTTGTTTTGTTTTTTGTTTTGTTTTGTTTTTGTTTTGTCTTTTTTTGCTTTGTTTCTTTTGTATTAAAAGATGAAAACATATGAGGTGCCAGGCGATCAGAGAGAGAAAAAATAATGTACATTTGGTCATTTTATGGAGAGAATTCTACACAAGATGCGAAAAGTACCCCTTAGGGTATTTGAATTTGCTTACTCGGTTTGATATCATTATGAAATGACAATAACAACAGGTAATGCTGTCTTGAGGCGTCACTACTCATTTCTATCTTGAGGTCCTTGTATTTGCCCAGTTTTCCAAAAGTTTTGATAGGTGTATTTTCGTTGGCTGGGACTGCAACGTCAACCAGAAGACATGGCTTTTCAACTCAATTTTTCAGTTATGACTGGGCCGATTTGCCTGGATTTCCCTATCAATCTGAACGCTGAAATTTTAAATCTCACCATACTGTACAACTTGTGGTGGCTTACGTTCCCTCCACCTCTCTTTGTGAGGGAATTTGAAAGCGCGACATATTATTATTATTATTATTATTATTTCCGTCTTCCGCCAGAAATATCTGGTGGCTTTTCTTCGAGTTCAAATGTCAGGAAGTCTCCTTTGTACTTTATTACTTTTATTGCTAGCTACTAGTCGTCTGTGACTATCTCTAAAATTAACTTTACTTTCAGGAAAGAGACAAGCATATTTACATACATTTACACGTTAGTATCAGTTAACATCTCATATAGGAGACCTGTTTGTGCACCATTTCTCTGTAAAAAGTTCTTCTGAAACGTCTGCCTGGTTCTACACAAGGCTTCAACATTATAATAACTGTGTGAATAGTTGAGTGGTGGCTTGTATAAATGGATACCAGAAAAGGAAGTGGCAGGAATAGTAAAAAAGAAAAGCAAGTGTAGCTAAGAGCAACAAAGTATAGGAAGTTGTGGAAAGCCGCGTCCTAAATAGTTACAACACATAGAAGAAATAGAAAAAGTAAGTAAAACTGCAAATATATACCTTCTGCGGTAAATTTGTGCCCAGGTTCATACAACATTTCACCTTATTACACTATTTACATTCTTTAGACTGTTGTCCTCATCTTTATTTTCATATTCACGATGTTTCGGCCGTTGAATGTTCCGGCCTTTTTCAAGTCCTCAAGGACACATGTCCCAGTGGATAAAAGCGTTGGTTGAAGTAAAAAGTGACTTGACTCACAGAGTTATGAGTTCAATATCTGGCCACAGCAAAGGTGAACAAAAATACTTGGGGAGTTGAGTTACTAAAGGAAATTAACTGAAACTGAGATATCTAAACGTGAAACTAGAAAAATCATACCCCCGTGAGCTAAATAAAGGGTTCGGTTTGAAATTCCAACGTATATCCCCTGAAGAAGGCCGAAACGTCACGAATATGGCAATAAAGATATAGGTCAACAGTTAGATCAATGTAAATAGTGTAAATAGTTACAATATCTCATCTCAAAAATATAGACAGATTTCACTTTTCTTAAGACATATTCTGTTGTCGCAGTGTAGTATTTTTAAAAACAACAGCGATAAGGAAAAAATAAACAAACAAACAAAAGAGTTAAGAAACTGAATGAGATTGGTTGATTTGTGCGTCTAGACACGTCAGCGTCAAAAATTTTAAAATGTAGCGTTCCTACATCTACAGCGTTTCTCCTGGGTACATAATGATTATAACCGACGTTTACGTTCATAGTCCCGAGTCTCCGACATTTTGGGGCTAATGATCACCAAATACAACGCTCGAAAGACACTCAAGATAGTGAGCTAATGAAGGAGTTTTTCTTTGCTTACAATGATGCTCACCCTGTACAAGGCCCGAGAGCCACTCTAGGTAGAGTTTAACAGTGTATGAGGTATAGTTTATGCGGATATGTGGGGAAGACAACGGTTAATCCAAGACTTGAACAGGTTCAGAGTTTAAAGATCAGGGAATTAACATCTTGAGAGTCGGTTCCACAAAGTAGCTACTCGAGTGCAACTCACATCTTAGCAAAGGAATACGAAGGAAATGTGGTTGGTTCACTACAATGTGTATAGAATGGTGGGCCTTACCCCTAAAGGTTAACCATGAAAACGATCAAAAATTAGCATCTCGTGATTAAAATATGCTTCAAACATAATGAAAACATAGTTTTATCGTCATGATCTTTATATTATTATTAAGAGGAAGGATCAAAGTATTTTTTGAATATTTAATTAATTTTTCTAATCCTTTTTTAAAACATTCGAAATTTTGACTAAAAACCTGCTTTTTCTTGCGTCAGTGGTTGTACTAACTTTTAGCGTAGCAAATTTTGACCACTTTTTGCAGTAACAGACAGATTAATTTGGAAATTCTTGCAAAAATGAGATAATTGTTAGAGTTTAGTGAAATTTTCAGGACTTATTCGTAAATGAATGAAATTATTTTGAAATTTTTATTAGAAAATCTTGGTAAAAATAATTTTATTACATGAGTTTTAGCCCCTTAATTAATTTTGTGAAAACTTGAGGAATTCATCGAGATAATTTTTAGTTACTATATTAGTTAAAAGCAGAATTCTTTGAAAAATTTAAAACACCCAATTTCCTTTGCAAAATCGGTCACAGTCTTACGGAAAATCTGTTCAGAATCGAAAAATAAAAAACGCAATGAACAAAGACATTAATAATTAGAGAAGCTTTTAATTGCTTTTATGAATAATCTAAAAGACAATGTTGTCTGGAGAAAAAAAATTTGTTTTCATTTTTTTTTCTTTACAATTAGAAATTGAATAATAATATGTTTTTAAATATTTTAAAATTGATTTTCAATAAGATAATTCCTAGGAAATATTATTATTAAGTAAAACTATATTTACTAATCATATATTATAAAGCTTATTACAATCTGACGACGGCGAATATTTTAAAAAGTATTTCGATTTGTTTTTGTATGTGGGATTACGTACGTGCATAATTTCTGAAGTATGGATGTACAAAGCGATAAATATAGCATTTAAAGGTCGCGTGTTTTAAGGGTTATTCCCCCTTACGGCTGAAAACAAACCTCAAAATTTGTCGTCTGCTCCACCATACTTAAGTAGGAACAGATTCGGCTGTCAATCTAACGTAAATTAAATCGATTAAGACATCAGAAAAACAAGACTCCGTAGCTAAGAAATGTTTGTATAAAACATTTTATGCTATAAGTAAGTAATATTTGATTCAAATCAGATTAATTTAAACTTAAATTTGCTAATTTTCCTCAAATAAAGTTTCAGAATTATATATTTTATTTTTGCAAGATTTTTAAAACTGAGAATTCAAAATGGCCGTTTCGATCGATTTTTATGAAAAAGAAATTAATTCCAATCAATATAATAACTGTTTGATGAATTTCTTTTCTGTGGATGAAATGTATTACGTAGATTTTTTTTATTGTGTTTTCATTCGATTACTTAACATTGAATTGATATATAGAAATGTATATATTATATTCTCTCATTCATATATATATATATATATATATATATATATATGAGTAAAGATAACCCTTAAAAATCTATTTCGGTTATAATTTATTTTATGAAGACGGAAGTTTTTTTTTTTTTTTTTTTAGAAATGAATTTGTTTAGGCAAAAGGACAACAGAAAGAAAAGGAAAAGGAAAAAAATTTATATTGAAAAAGGAAGAAAGAAAAATAAAAGTTTCAATATATGATGTTTTTAATTTTAGGGGAAGAGAGAAAGAAAAGGGGAAGAGATAGAAGGAGAGAGTGAGAGAGGAAGGGAAAGAAAAGAAAAGAAAGAAGGAAGAATTAAATATGAGCCGATAGGTTGTCCTGAATTTTTTTTTTCCTTAAAGGACTGAACAAGTTAATATACAGGGTAAGGGAAAAGTGATAAGACTTTAAAATATTAGGTTGGTGCAAAAATAATGACGTAATAATATCGTTTTTTGACGTATTTTTTAACGTCAAAAAACGACATTATTACGTCATTATTTTTGCACCAACCTAATAGATACAGCAATGTCTAATAGTGTATATTCGCCCAAATCAATGCTTTAGTTTTCCTCTTTTAATACCATTTGTTTCCTTTTTCTTTCTTTATTCCTCTCCCTTTTGCTTTTTGCTGACAAACTGATTCGATTTAAAAAAAAAAACTTCGGTCAAAAGAGAGGAGTATATGACTATATTCATGAAATAAATTATTATATTATTACGAAATGGATTTTTAAAGAGTGTCTTTACTTATTATTAATAAATATATACGGTACGGTGGAGTAATGGATAGCGGCTTGGAATGAGGAATCGGAGAGCCGAGTTTGAATTCCACTCGAATCTCTTACATTCACTTACGTGTTAATAAGCTTGGAAAAGTTGCTAATCCTCTTCTTCTTCCTCTAGCTATGGATAAATAACAGAGCAGACTGCGTTCTATAGTCTTGGATGGTAACTAGGAGTTTTGAATTCAGAGTTTTTCCATCTAGGCCATTATTAATTTCACAGTTTAAGAAAAAAAACGAGATATCAACTCAGATACGTTCACCCATTAAAAAATAATAATAAAAACTAATGTCGGATTAAAAAAAATATATATATATATGTATATATATATGTATATAGGGAAGAGGTTATAGCTGTTCCAACGAGAGAAAAGTGTACATTTTAAAAACAAGAGTGAAACAGAAAGTGTTTTGGGGTGTAATGTAGATTTAAAAACAACATATATATTATGGTTTATTTTCCATAATTTTGCAACACGCGTTTCGGTTCTCGTGATCTTCTTCAGGCAAGAGTGGATATTTCCACATATCATTAAAATGAATTAATTTCCCTTATGCTTTTCGATTCTTTGTGTGTGTGTGTGTGTGTGTGTGTGTGTGTGGGTGGGTGGTAGTGACACAAATGTCTTTCTTGGACTTGTGGTGAGAAAGTTCTTCTGCTTAAAACAATTAAGATTGGTACGAGAAAAGGTGATAATATATATATATATATATATATATATATATATATATATATATATATAGAGAGAGAGAGAGAGAGAGAGAGAGATAGAGGGAGGGGGGAGATGGTGTATTAAGGCAGCAACAGTTCCATAGAAACTTGTTTTGTTAAGTTCTGTCTGGGTTTTTTTTTTTTTTTTTTTTTTTTTTGGGGGTTCATTGTGTTTTCCCAAATTTCGAACAAGTCGTTGCACATCGAGATCAAAATTAAAGATAAACCGTCCCAAGTTCATTTTTTGACTTGCTGAATTCTTTCCAATGGATCCACTAACACTAAAATAAAGTTCTTTAGCAATAAGAAATAATGTATTAAAACAATCCATTTATGCACAAATACATATATATATATATATATATATATATATATATATATATATATATATATATATATATATATGGATGTAACAGCAAATTGTCAAAAACGTATAACGGCATAATTGTCCATCTCACAAAATGGTTAATATCTAAAATAAAACACTAAACTACTTGAATATCTTTTTTCCAGGTTTTTAGATAAGACATCTTGACACCGTCTGTCGTAAGAATCACAGAAAATCCTTTTAAGTTATTTAGCTAGAAAGAGAACAGGTGAAAATCGTTTTATGTCACACCCACTCTTCTCCCAACTGAGCCATGGCGAGAGGAAAATAATGTGTGTGCGTGTGTGTGTGTGTGTGTGTGTGTGTGTGTGAACTTTATTTTCATCCTTCATAACTTTCTTGTTGTTAGCTATATTTAATTAATGATAAACATGTCATTTTCGTTTATAATCGATTTCATCACGATTCTTCTGTTAAGCTTAAAGAGTAATCATACATTCTTATTGCTTAAAGTAGAGTCCAATAGTGTTATAAAAACTTCGCAGAATTCCAGTAAGATATCTTTAATCATTTCTGAGATACATCGGTACAAAGCTTAATCTAACAATTGGGAAATTTTGCTGTTACACCCGGTATATATATATATATATATATATATATATATATATATATATATCTGTTTGTGGATGACTATATCATTTAATAGTATAGAAAAAATTATATAAAAATCAACTAACCAACACTCAACAAAATTTATTACGAATATAGCAACAACACATTAAAGTGAATATTACAATTTATGCCATTTTACATTTTTACCAATTTCCTTATATTGAAACGATTGTTTTTCAAAAAATTCCATAACTAGAACAGATATTTTTTTTAATGACTATAACAAAGTACGTTTTTTTAAATTATTATTTACAAAGGATCGCAGATTTGAACGCATTTACAATAAGTTTGTCTTTGTAATTTTCCCCTGAAAATGATCTTAGAAACGATCGAAAGTACTTGGGTTAAAAACATCTAAGTCGCCTTCCTTGGCGAATTTCATCTTAACCTCCAGAAGTTGATTATACAACTGGAAAGGATCGGTATCGAATTACGTAGACACAATATGTCTATATTATTTAATAAAAAGTGTTTGAATGAAGATATCCTGTATATATATATATATATATATATATATATATATATATATATAGATATATAGAGAGAGAGAGAGAGAGAGAGAGAGAGAGAGAAACAGGTAATAAATTCGTTGGTATGTAATCCAAGTGGATCTTAGTAATGTCAAATATTAAAACTGATCCACAAAAAGAGCACAATGTATTTATGATAACAGAGCATATAAATTACATAACAAAATCCAAAATTACTTAATGTGTGTGGGGGGTTATAGATCTATTTTAACCAATAAGAAGTACGTTAGTTTTATAGAACCCCAGTGTAATTTTGGATTTTCTTGTAATATATATATATATATATATATATATATATATATATATATATATATATATATATATATATAACATTTACGATAGGTATCATATTTTAATATTTTACCGATTAAAATCGAATAAAATATATATAACCGAAAGTACCTTTTCGACTTACACTTCATCAGTTAAATACTACTGAAGGGTGTTTGTTTGTTTTTTATTAGGATCTTAAAATTATTAGGATCTTAAAATTATTAGGATCTTAAAATTATTAGGATCTTAAAATTATTAGGATCTTAAAATTGGAAAGAAGACAAGTGAAGAAAAGATATATTTAAAGAAGAATATAAGAAGACAAGATATATATGAGTGTATGTGTGTGCACGCGGCCGCATGTTTGTGCCTGTTAATCCACCTTCTGTTTATCTGACTGTGTCAATCTTTCCCAAGTATCTTTGGTAACAGCGGTTCTATTGGTGCTGCTAACCTCCATGGTTATTGTGATGCGGACAACAAAAATGATGAAGAATAATGTTGTTGTTTTTGTCACTGTTGTTGTTGGTGGTGGTGGCGGCGGTGGCGGCGGTGGTGGTGGTGGTTTTATTCAAAATAACATGAATGTTGATGATGCTGCTGATAATGGTAGTGAATCATAGGCTTGGCAGAAGGCATTAACTTAAAAGAAATGTTCTTTGCCAAGAGGGAAAAAAAAAGCAGAAACGAGATTAATCGAGCTTTGCACTTGTGAGAGCATTGTTTGTTAGCGATGAAACATCGATGCGAGGTGTCTACGTCTTATCCTTGCCCTCCTCAACGCTGACAACACTCTGCGAGGTTAGGTTAGGTTCTACTCGTGTCCAGGCTTTCACTGTTCACCACTTGTTAAGATAAACAAGAGAATTACTGAATGGAGATGTATTCAAGTGTAGTACAACTGCGTAATACAAGATATGATATTTAAGATCATACGTCTATTAGATAGATAGATAGATAGATAGATAGATAGATACATACATACATACATAGATAGATAGATAGATATGAACAGACTGGGATAGATAGATAGATAGATAGATAGATAGATAGATAGATAGATAGATAGATAGATAGATAGATAGATAGATATGAACAGACAGAAAAGATAGATTTGATGACAAGTATTAAACCAGACAAAAGGAAGAAGAAAGTAACCCTTCATGCATTTGACATATTTCGCTATTTATTTAGCTTCGTCGGAAATTACACCCACAAAGATTCATACATACATCCATTCTAACGCCGTAAAATGAGCACGTGACATCAAACCCAACGAATGATAGAATTTAAAAATTGAAACAACATTGCATTTCACTTCCAAAATAAAAATTCCTGCTTAAGATAAATAAATAATGGAAGGTTTTTTTTTGTTTTTTTTTACCTGTTCCTTATTTAATGGTATGATGGTATATAAGAAAATACAGAGATAGATTAGCCAATTATCAAACTTTTCGGTAACTGAAGTTGTCGAAACTTTGCATAGTATCAGTTTTTTTCTGATAAAGAATGTCCCACTCCAAAAACAGCGCTTTTAAAAGTGACCCTTTTACATAGAATTCTAAAATAGGATAGAAGTCAATATTGGAGATTAAAGCCTGAATTCTTAGAAACGAATATGATCGGAATCAGTACATTTTTGAAACACAGTGTAGCACCAAATTATATTTGGTATAAAAACTGAGAAATTGTGATCATCGTGGCGAAAATGTTCGCATCATTTGAGAACCACTAAAGCAATAGATAAATATGAGTAGCGTATATATATATATATATATATATATATATATATATATATATATATATGGACATTGAAGGCAACTTATATGTTGATTGCATATAAGCATGAAGCACACTGTCATCGCTCGGTGCTGACTTCAATGTCCTGTTTTATATTTACATACGCTCTATCCCTGATATTGAACACATAAATATAGTATACCATATAACTATATTTTTTCATATATATAGATAGATAGATAGATAGATAGATAGATAGATAGATAGATAGATAGATAATGAACAGACTGAGATAGATAGATAGATAGATAGATAGATAGATAGATAGATAATGAACAAACTGAGATAGATAGATAGATAGATAGATAGATAGATAGATAGATAGATAGATAATGAACAAACTGAGATAGATAGATAGATAGATAGATAGATAGATAGATATGAACAGACTGAGATAGATAGATAGATAGATAGATAGATAGATAGATAGATAGATAGATAGATAGATAGATAATGAACTGAATGAGATAGATAGATAGATAGATAGATAGATAGATAGATAGATAGATAAGAATAGAATGAACAGACTGAGATAGATAGATAGATAGATAGATAGATAGATAGATAGTAGATAGATAGATACTGATCAGATGGGTTAGTTAATTGAGTAAATGGATTAGATGTTACTTGAGAGGCCGACAGACACATGCGCGCTTGTTTGATGTACTTTATAATGATGAACCAACCTCTTCACTGCGGAGTTGGGGTTTTTTCCCCCGTTGTGTCTACTTGCTGTCTACGCAATGAATGAAACTCTAGAGACAAAAAAAAATCATTTGAACTCACAAACCATTTTTCGCTGCCGAGTAAATGGAAACATTTCTATTAAGCAAGTATCCAATCACTCTTCCATAAAACATATCATAAAATGTGGAGTGCATATTTGACTGTCTTTTGTTGTCATCGGTAGAGTCAACCTGTCCCGACGCTTTTCCTGTCTTTCAACCAAAATTTCATTTTTTTTTTATCCTCTACGCCGTTCAATGCTTCTGTCTGCTTGCTTGCTTGCTTATCAATAAATCAATCAGCCAATCAGCTTATCTTCTAATGCCTTTGCCTTTGCCCCTGCTTTCGAGGAATTGTTAACAAACCAGTTTTAATGTTGGGTTTGATTTAAAACAAAAATCTCATAATATCTTGGTCCTGTACCAAACTAGGTGCGGTTTGGTCATCATATTTCACCCTTGTTAATGGATATTGTTGCAGAACATGTAGGTTAGGTAAAAGAAAATGATAATTGTAGTAAATGTAAATCTAGATTTTACCTTAATGGTCCGATCTTTGACGACTCGAAACAAACGTGAGTTGTTTGAACCCGTGAGTATGCTTCATGGCAGTTATTAATTGTTGTTGAATACGTTTTGATATAAAACAGAAAAAAAGGCAGGAAAACGTGTAATTCGGTTGCGGCAGTAGAGAAAGCAAGAGCCTTTATGCTCCTTCTATTTTTCCCCTCCTAGATTCCGTTGCATACCCGTGGATTTAGCAGACTACGTACAAAATAGGCCGACCTGTTGATATCCGTATTGTCCATCTCTATCTGCTTTTTTGCTTCCATAAAAAAAAAAAATATTGCTGACGATATCGCCGCTAAAATAAAGCGAGTGCAAAGAAAACTGAAGAAAATGACCCATCTAAGATTTATAATACAGTAATTATGACACAAGGCCGAAAAAAGGGTGAGACTGGTCAAGGTTGGTCATCACTAGCTGTCTTATACGTAGCTTGTCGGATTCACGATCCATTCATTCGTTACGATATACTCATTCACCATGAGAATTTATCCGTGACCATTCACTTCTTCATAAACCAAAATACTCACATACACTGGGCACCTACTGAGGAAAAAACATCCAATGAGTTCAAAATCCCAGTATGTATATTTGTGTATAACACACACACACACACACACACACACAAAATATATATATATATATATATATATATAATAAACAATAAAATCTAAAATTACGTCATATGTAGAATAGCGTATTTCGGCAGATGAAGATATTGGTCTCCTGTCTTATCAACTGAGATTGAGTCTGTGTCTATATAGTCCCGGCCCTCACAACTGTATAGACACGAACTCAGTCCACACTGGGATTGATAAGACAGACAACCGATATTTTCGTCTGCCGAAATACGCTATTCTCCATATGAGGTAGCTATGGATTTTATTGTTTATCCATTATATTGCTCTGTATTATAAATACATTGAGCTCTTTTTAATATTTTATATTACTAGGATACACTTAGATTATATACCAACGGATCTGTTACCTTTACCATATATATATATCCAAATGTAATGAGAACGAAAATAATATATAAATGGTTACGTTCACAGCATTAATTCAAAACAGGGCTCAATACCGATAGTAGAGCAATAATTATTTATTATAATTTTTTTTCATATAGTCAAAAACAATTTACTGACGACAAAGATTCAACTTTGTTTCGGTGCATTTAAAAATTGCACTTCGACTGGTGAAAACGTAAATGCTTAGGAACAATTCTGTTTTTAAGCAAGCCGCATGTGAAACGTCACTTCCTTTTTTCCATTTGTTTGAAAAAAAAAAAAAAAGAAAAGAAAAAATACATAAAGGCAAAAAGGTGACGGAGTGAAACAATGGCGGTTGTTGATAGCAGTTTGGTGAAGGTATTAAAGTAATGGCTAGACCTGAAAAATTTCTTTTCGACAACAACGCTCAAAGCTTTCGGCTCAGCATTTCCAAGACTTCTAAGAGGGATGATAAGTGAGATATTAATATAATGAAAGAGGAAGGAGGGAAAAAATCAAACGATATTTATAGTTGTAATTGGGAATGTTTTTTGGGGTTCATTATTTACATTATTCGGACGATTGTCCTCATCTTTTTCGCCATATTTTTTTTCCAGACTCATCATCCACCCCATCATTTCATTGATAAAATTCCAAAAATGCTCATGTATGGTCAACTTAACGGTCATCAAAACGTGGGTCGGCATTTACTTAGGTACAGGGACAAGCTGAAGAGTAACCTCTTAACTGGGAATATAAATCACACTACCTTTGAGAACATCGTAATTGATTGTAATGAATGGAAGACTACATGCTACAATGGCATCAAAAACAAGGCAGCATCAAACATTGCCAAGCTTCGTCAAACTAGGGAAAGGAATAAAATATCTGCTACTGTTCCAGCCATATACTCCAAGAATCCACACTCTTGCACAATCTGTGGACTTCTTTGCAAATCACTAGCAGGACTGAAATGTCTCTTGCGACTCACACACAAGGTTAAATAAACAAAGTTGTCGGAACCTCATACGTCGAAACCGACCGGAGAGTCCATCATATATATATATATATATATATATATATATATATATATATATATATATATATATATAAATTTTATCAGTGAAATGATGGGGTTGATGATGAGATAAAAAAAAAAGGTGGGCCAAAACAAAAGAGGGAGGTTTGGAATCTCGACTTGGATCAAAGCAGAAGCCTGGAACAAGTCGGGATCAACACTGACCTGTCGTTGATTATGTTGATGAATCTTTGGAATCCCTACCGATAAATCCCCGATAGACTATTATAACATTCAGAGGACCCGCAACGCAATAATATGCGTGCTAGTGTGTACGAGTACAAAACAGATGGAATGGGTGATTTACAACTCAACACCACCGACACAACACAGGGACAACTCAGGACTGAATATGTAGAATGGAGAACTTTCCATTCCATTTCTTTAATCGCTTTCTTGGAGTCGGATAATGTGTCACAAACAAATCTTCAATTGTCTTTCTTGACCAGAAAAAGTTTTGCCTGTTTCAACGCGTCATTCTACATGCAAAATTTCAACTCATCATCCTAATCTATTTTGCATTCAAACGTAGAGAAAAACGTTACCTTCGGTCTTCTTCTTTATCCACTTTGCCATGGGTCCTCAAGGACCCATGGCACAGTGGATAAAGGCGTTAGTTAGATCCAGTGACAGAACCCAAAGAGTGTGAGTTCAATACCCGGTTAAGGCAGTGGAGAACTTGGAGAGGGAATTAACAGGAGATAACTGATAACTGACATCCATCAAACATGGCACGTGGAACTAGAATAATCTACCCCAGTGAGCGAAATAAAGGGTTCAGTTTGATATGCCAACCACCTGAAGAAGGCCGGAGCGTACAACGGCCGAAACGTTGTAATAAATATGGCGACAAAGACGAGGACATTAGTCCGAATAATGTAAATAGTGGATATTTAGCAATGGCATTAAACTCTTAAAAATATCAAAGGTAAAACAAAAAAAAAACAAAAACTAGGATCCCACGTCAGTAGATGATATTGTCCTACGGAGGTAGGAAGTGACACTAGCTTCGTTTAATATATACAGACCAAGCAAAAAAAATTGCTTTTTGCTCGCGACCATTTTGTGGGAGGCGCTGCCGACGTGTTGGAATCCCCGGGGCCTGGCATAACTCTTTCCGTGAACCGCTCAAAGACAGCAAAACGACACAGAGGTAAAAAAAAAAAAAAAAAAAACGCAATGATCGCAATCCAAAGGTCATGGAAGAGAGCTATAAACATAACAGATTGCCAGAAATATGTTGATTGTTGCGAGTCACTGAGTTTTCGTCACTTCCTGTAGGTATGAAGTTATAACTTGGGATGAGAAATCTCGAATCCCGCATTACTTTACGGTGAGGAAACCAGTGTTAAAAATGGCTTTCACGTTGAACCTTAAAAATTCCAAGTCACAGTACGGGTGTGTATACATCTTGTGTCAGTTTTATGCAATAACAATAACAGACGTCATTCACTGAGTGAATCGCTCAGTGTTGGCTACACTTCAGTTGAATTGCGCATGCTCTTACGCGTATGGTTACACCGCCTAAGACTTCATATATCCACGCATTCATGTTTTCTCATTTATATAAACAAAGAACAAAATAAATTCGTTATTAGAATCTTTTCACTGTGAACAAGATTTTTTTTTACTACAGAACAATCATAGGAACACCGGAAATTAAGATTAAATTGCGCGGCAAACCTATTTCCCAACATTCTTTGCGTGTCGTTGAAGCAGCCAATAGAAAACAACTCGTTTATTTTATTTTTTTTATTTTGCCTTCATTTTATTTTGATTTATATATGATTGTTTTTTTTATATATATATTATTTATTTATTTATTTGAGCTGAAATAAAAGTTTCGGCCCTGAATTTTTATTCTTTTTCTTTCTTTTGAGGGATGACTGGTATTATTTGTTATGTTTTCCACCCCTCTATATTTCTCACATCTTACTCTCCACTACACAAAACGATCTCTCTCCTCTCTCTC